GATAGATAGTGAAAGAAATAAGAATAAATCTGGACCATGAGATCAATCATATTAATGGTTAGGATGAAGTCAAACTAGGGTCAATCATTAATGGCAAGCTGGTAATTATTCGATCATAGTGTGGTCAAATATGTCACTTGACTAATAAATAAGGGTATGTTGGTCAATACACATATTTTAAATGGGACCCACATCCATCATCCCCAACAAATCCGTCACCTACCACATCCCCTCTTTCACACACAACACAAACTCATCTTTCTCTCATCTCTCACACACAACACAGCCATTTTACAAACACACACACACACACAATCGCGACACACACACATAACCAAGCTGAGCCCGCCGGCAACCACCATCACCACCAAGCCGAACCACCAAGACCACCCTCTCAGCCTCCGACAAGGTCGGTCGTTGCCGCCATTCCCGGTCGCCGCCTCCGAAACCACAGTCCCGCCGGGACAAACACAACAGAGGCGCCCTGCTCGACATAGCCATAGCCAGTTTATCCGACTTCTCAACACCAATGCATCCTCCATCTCCAGCGTCGCTGCCGTCGGGCAGCTGCCTTCCCGGAGTTGAGATCTCACACCACGCCGCCTCCACCTTCCATGTTCTCCCGGAGAACTTACAGTAAAAGCACAAAATGTCCACGAGCATGAAGGCGACGGGCCGAGCACCACCGCCATACCGCCGAACTGTGCAGATCCGGCCCGCTGATGCTCCCAGATCTACCATTTTTTTCGGTGTCCTTCATGTATGTTTGAGTGAACTTCAATGGTGTGTTTAGTGGTGAATGTGGCGGCGACGTGGTGGTGTGTTGACAGTTCAATTTGAGAGGAGGTGGGGATGGTATGTCTGCAGACATGTGGCTGGATTTATTTTTGTAAATTAGATTAGATGTAGGGACTTCTAGGCAATTTTTAAGAATGTTTGATATATTTGTACCTTAATGAAATAGATATGTAGTTTATTAAAAATACTATTATTTTATTATGTTCAAAGGACCAATTGCAAATTTTTTTATTTTTTATTATGTTCAATGAGATTCCAAGTTTGGGCACTTTGACATGATAATTATTTTATATTTATTACTTTATTATTAATTTAATATAGCATGATCAATTGCTATTATAAAAAATATCACATTTAATTATTAATATTTATATTTTGCGCAATTTGTCGGAATAATTATTTTGGCAATAGAAATGTAGGAATAATTATCATATTTTATATTTACATAATCTAACTGAATAGTTTAGTTATGTCAGTTCGATTATTTTTAAAAATAAAGTCGAATACGATTAAGTGCAATATGTCAGTCACTAATGTGCAATCAGTGCAACACAAATGTGCACCCGAATTGCATTTATATTTAATGATTTGTCACAATCCAAACTAAAACTAAAATAATTTATAATTTATATTTTTAAAAATATATTTAGTATTTTAATTTATTTTTTATATCTTCTGTATGATTGTTTTGTTTTTGGTGTAAATACCTAAAAAAATATATATAACCAAATATTATTTTTTTTATATATTTATGTTGGTTTAATAGATATAGTGCAATTTAACAATCAATAACGTGCAGTATGTCTAACAATAACGTGCACTCTAAGTGCAATTATTTTTTAATGACTTGTCTCAAACTAAACCAAAATCAAAATAACTAGTTTTATTGATATGGTAATTTAGTTAAGATATTATTTTTTTAAAAAAAAGTCTTTACCGAACTGAACTAACGATATTATGTAGATATATTTTTTAAATTTATATGGCGTGATAATTTAGCTGGAATTATCGACGTTTAATTGTGAATTGTCATGATAAAGTGCAATGCGGTGTACTATAAAGTACAACACATTGTTTCATAAAGTGCAACATGACAATACATAAAGTAAAACTATTGTAAGTTTGGTATGTTAGCATTCTTGTGTGTATTTTCTTTAACATATGATGTTATGTATGATAAAATGTTATGTTGATCCGTTTTTTAGATTTATGTTGTGTTATAATTTGGCGGGAATTATTGACGTAAATTGTGGAGCGTGGTGATAAAGTACAACGTGTTGTTTTATAATGTGCAACGTATTATTTTATAAAGTGCAATGTTTTTTTTTTTATAAAGTGAAATAATTTGTAAGTTCACGTATAAATTATGTATAATCGAATACTATTTTTTAATAGATATAATTGTGCAGATACTTAATTTAAATAATTTAAATGTTTTATTAGTTATTATTATTATTATTTATAAAATTTGTTTATTATTATAAACTATTTTATATTATTTTTATATTTTATACTATTTTTATTTAATAATTTATTTATTATTTAATACATGTGTATAACAAAAAATATAAAAAGTAATTTTTTTTATTAACTTTCAATAATTATAGATTTGGCATGTGAGCTTAATTGAAATATAGTTAAAAATCATAAAATTACAAATAGGTCCTAAACATAATCTAATTCTCAAATGAACACCCCAAAACATCACAACCAATAATGTCAGATTCCAGCGACCGTAATCGTCG